TCCAGCCTGGACATCAGAGTGAGACCCTGTCTCAAAAAAAAAAAAAAAAAAAAAAAAAAAAAAAAAAAATCTGTAGAGAAATATAAAGAAGGGAAGGGGATAAAAAATCATTCAGAATCCCCTCCCACATTTTTCCCATATCAATGGACAGCTGTGTTTAAAAATAAAACTTTTATATCTCGTGCTTCCCCTTTCTTCACTTCTTTATCCTATTCTTTTTTTTCCCCTATGAGTTGCTGTTTTATATTCCATTCCCCTAAACAGAGGGTAATAATTTCTGCTTCATGGAAGCAGAGATATTTCAGGAATCAACAAAGGTATGTGAAAATGATTTAAAGATTCCTAAATCCTATGCAAACATAATTTTCTCTTGCTCCCAGTTTACTCTTTTTATAAAGCTCAGAATTTGGATGAGATGTTCTTCCCTGTGGTTGTTCTGGCTTAGAGTCTGCACCCCTACTTATTAACTGTTTAGCTTGTATTTCCTCCCAGGTTCCCTTTCCTCTCTGCGTCTACATAGAATAAATTATCAAGAATTATGGTGTGAAATAGAATTTTGTGATAAAAACTAAGCATCAAATTAATATTACAATAAAACAAACTTGAGTATCTTGTGGATATTGTTATATTTCCTTAATTGTGGTTTTGTTTTTTGAAAACTATTATTTTACCTTGGTATACATTAAGTTTGCTTGAGATTTTCAGCTAAATTCCCTGAGATGAGCTGATCTTCACTGTTTAGCCAGGTTTGGAGGTTGTGTGAAACAGGTCTAAAGGTCAGACCACCTGAGGTCTGTTTCCTATTTTTTTTTTTTCAAGACGTGGTCTGGCTTTGTCACCCAGGCTGGAAGCAGTGGCACAGTCATGGCTCACTGCAGCCTCAACCTCCCAGACCAAAGCGAGCCTCCCACTTCAACCTCCAAAGTAGCTGGGACCACAGGCATGCACCACCATGCCTGGCTAATTTTTTTTTTTTTCTGTAGAGACTAGATCTCCTTATGTTGCTTTGCCTTGGCCTCCCAAAGTGTGGGGGTTACCTGTGTCAGCCACTGTGCCTGGCCTTGAGATCTATTTCTCAAGTATTACGGCATATAGCTTAGAGGTGGAGGTGGGGCAGAGAGCCTAGGGGGCTAACATTTCATCTGAACTTCATTCTCTAGGCAGTACATACTCTACAGATGCCTTTTTCTAATTTCCACAAGAGTGCCCTGTGGGCTAGCAGTAACCATGGCTGGGTCGTTAAGGGGGAGGCAGAAGGTCAGTGTGGTCCTTGATGTCATCTGCTGACGCTGGCGTCCCTTAGAATAGCTGTCATCCTGTCTGGTCCCTAGATGATAAACCATGCAATTGCCTAGATGATCCACATTCCCATTTCCACAGGCCCTTTATTTTCATCACTCTGTACTGCTTTGTGCTTCTCTGGGGCTGGGGAGGGCATGGAAATTACCCTGCTCTCGTGCTGTTCAGGGCACAGAGAAGCTTCTACCACTGTGTCTGGTACCATCTGCCCAGGCACACCATGCAGTCATTTCTCTCCAGAGCCTCTGCCTGAGCAATGGGGCCAGGTTTTTATTTCTTCCAGAGACTACCGGCTGATCTAGGGGTTTTGACTCCATCCTAGACCTCAGCCAGTGGTGAGCAGTGCGAGATTAGAGATAAACAGGTCCATGCATGTGTATGTCTTTCCACAATGTCAGGCTTTTATTAATGTTATTCTAGTCCACGAGCTACATGGAGTTCCCAAGGAGGCGGTTCTTCTTAGTACTTCCTGTTCACTCTGTAGTCAGAGCCATGGGCACACAGGTTCAAGCCACTCCACAAGTCAGTCAATATTGCAAACCATACACAATAGTATATTTCATCAATATAGAAATGTTTTAGGTTAAACATTCCATGACAAACAAAGTAACATTTAACATCAGGAGGAAAAAGAGATTGGAGAAAGGATTAATGAACCAGTCCAGTGGGAGCTAAGAAGACAAGAGTCCTGGTCTTGCCCTGGGGTCCCTTTGGTCTTGTAAGAAGAGTTTTTGAGGTGGCAGAGCCTTCAGTGGCAGGTACCAAATTCTTATCACAAGTGACTGCAAGACGGTATCAGTAAAGAGAGCTGTTTTTGAGTGGCAGAAGGCCTAATCCTTTACAGTCAGAGTCCTCTGGCAAGAACTGATAATGGAAGAGTACGCTTGTTTACATCCTTATCTGGTTGCCGCAGTCTTTTGTTTGTTTGTTTGTTTGTTAAACAAAGCATCTTATCCTTGTTGGCAAAGTGTTCTATGAAATATAAAATGGAGTCTTTTTTCTTTTTCTTTGAGACGGGGTCTCACTTTGTTGCCCAGTGAGTGCAGTGGCACAATCTCAGCTCACTGCAACCTCTGTCCCCCGGGGTTCGAGTGATTCTCCTGCCTCAGCCTCCTGAGTAGGGATTATAGGTGCCTGCCACCACGCCTGACTAATTTTTGTATTTTTAGTAGAGATGGGGTTTTGCCATCTTGGCCAGGCTGGTCTTGACCTCCTGACTGCATGATCCACCCACCTCGGCCTCCCGAAGTGCTGGGATTACAGGCATGAACCACCGTACCCAACCAAAAGGGAGTCCTTTTCTAAGATGGAATTAGTTATGTCAATTACACAGCTCAAGAGCTGGAGGCAAGTTTCCTCTTTTTGGGACCCATTAGACTCTCTATTACTCCTTCTCTGTTTCCACTGAAGTAAGATAAACTCTTCCTCAAGGCTGAGGACTCTTTTCTAGTCCAGAGGTTGAAGACTGGAGAGAGATGGGGTAAGACTGGGACATTTCCCTTTTACTCATGTGTTTTCCTCAATATACTGTATGTATTATGGCTTCTTTTTGACGTCTAAACCACCTATGTTTTCTTTATTTTTTCATTTTTTATTTTAATTTTTTTTCTGCTCACACATCCCAACTGCCTGACCTAAGTTTTAAAATCCCAATTCAAGAATAAACTCCCTTAAAGTTTGTTATCTGCTGACACATCCTTCTTCCCAGTCAAGGAACACAGAACAATTCACCTGTCTGAGTGGCGGTGGTAGTTTGTGTGTGAGGACGCAAAGGGCAGGTTGGAGAAGAAGATACCACCCTCCCGCCCATGCATGGGGTATGCGGGTATGGCAGTGCCTTAAGATTTAAAAATATCTAATACATATATATTTTTTCTTGTGCTCTTTTCTTTTTTTTAAGTTTTAACTGATGCCTTCAAATGATTATTTCCTCAATTTAAATAATGTAAGAACCTTTGTAAAATGAAAGTCATTTGGCACATCCCTGAGGATGAATCTGTGGCTCAGATTCATTAAACTGCGATTGTGCAACTGTGCTTTCACGCAGGGATTGCTCAGAGGCTAGAACGGCTCTTCTGGAATTCTCAGGTACATTGGGCCAGGTTTCCCTAGAGGAGTACACATTGTTTCTAACGAAAGGGATTTAAAGTCACAATGCACCTTAACGTGATGACTTTCTGAACGCATTCTCTTTCACAAGACCCAAGTTGCCAGGGTGAAAGTGCAGGATTGTTTCCTCTTGGAAGAACCCTGATAATCTCTTTGCCTCTCTTTCCTTGAGATGCTTTTCCTTCCGTGAGATTTCATGGAGATGGGGACAAGTCAGCTTGGAGATCATAGTCTTCCTCTTTTGTGCTGCCCCTTTGTTCTCTCTTTGAAATCAATCACTTCTAGTAATCCAGAAAACTGGGGAAAGGCTGGGGTGTTTCTTATTGGGAAAAAAGGTTTTTTTTGCATGTGTGTGAGAATGTTTTTCCTTTTTTTTTTTTTTCTTGTAGTATAATTTACATGCAGCGATATGTACAAATCTTAAGTGAACGGGTTGATGAATGTTTGCCTGTTATACCTACATGTAATCACTACTCAGATCAAAATAGACAACCTATTCATGACACTGAAAAGTTTTCTAGAGCCCCTTTTCAGTCACCCATTCTTCCAGGTAGTTACTATTTTGATTTTTACCATCTCTTGGGTGGGCTCTTTGGCATTGTGTGGGTTTCTTTTCTTCTAACAGCTGGGGAAGTAAGCTGGCCTTGCTATTCCCCAGACCTGAGGAGGAAGAAGCCAGTCTCTGGGAATCATTTAAAAAATTCCAGCCCTCCTCTTCTGTCTTTCAGAACAGAACTTTTTGTTGGGTAAGCTTTTTGTTGCTGCTGTTTTTTGTTGGAGGGGCTTTTCCCTCTGAATTGGAAAAGTCTGAGACTCAAATGCTTAGGGAGAAAGAGCCAAAGTAGGTCCTTTGGCGTGTTTTGGTTCTAGGCTGCACTTGGTTGGCTGAGACAAAGTATTTCTCCAAATAGCCCATGCTTATATATCAATAATAATGCTTTTACTATTTTTCACAATCTACATTCTTCAACTCAATAATATTGATACTCTATCTGGTATAATCTATGGCTGGCAATGATGATGTGGATTTAGGTTGTAATAGATGTAGTATATGCTTTGACTTGAAAAATGCTGTTAGGGATGTGTGGGTGCTGAGATGTAAGCGCTATAATGCTTATATTTTGTTCTGAAGATTTCTTTAAGGTTTTCTAAACTCACTGGTTGAAGGGCTGAAACACATGAGACACGGGGGTTGAAGCAGTCTAGCTTAGCAGACGCTTAAGTTATTCCAACCCCAGTCTTGATGGAGGTTGATGCAAGCTGTTGGAGAAAGGACAAGACTCAACCCAAGCACCTGAGTGTGGCCTCCAGTTGGATCAAAGAAGAATAGGAATTTGGGAATAAAACTGTTTTTTTTTTTTTTTTGCAAGAACCGGCAAAGTTTTAATGCTTAATAACAGCACAATTGACCAAGGTCCAAGATGTGAAGATACCATGTTTAAGAAACTGGGGGTAAATCACTCTATAGACTAACTATATAGTATGTGATAAAAATGCACACTTTTTATAATGTAAAACCTGTCTACACATAGTAGTTAGCTGCAAAAAGCCATTCAATCTTCTCTTGGCTTGGAAAAATGGTGTTCCAGATTTCAGTATAAATTATTAGCAACCTTCACCTCTTGTGTGGCAGGTATCTTGTTTTCACCTTCCAGTTCTTCCACCCCAGGCTGTGTCATGAGATCTGCGATGTTCTTCTTCAGATCATCAATACAACTACTCATATCATCAATTCTCCCAATGATCTGGTCAGACATGGTCTGAAATTTATCTTGGATCTGCTGCAGGAGTGTCTGCACCACTGAGGTAAGTTCCTGCTCAGTCTTGGGGTCAGTCTTGGCTATATCCCTGGTGCCCAGCTTGGTGGTGATTGTAAAACATTTTTTAACCTATTCTGGGACCTTAAGTTCTTTGTGTAACATGGGAGGAGATATGTAATGAGGGGACTATTAATTTATTTCAGGAACAAGTAGAGACTTGCTAGTGGGAAGAAGATCCATCTTCTTAAATTTGTAGGGTATTGGCCAAGTTCAGGAATTTCACAGTGATCTCTGTGTTGGCATTTTTGGGTTATGTTCCTGTGTAATGCACGTTGCATGATCTTTCTAGTGAGTTTGATTAGACAATCTAGCACAGCTTAATTTGATTTTTCTAAATAGCCAGCATGAGTTTTCTCTAGGTTGTTTCCCAATAGACTCTGCGTATATGGACAAGATTTTTTGGTTAGGCAGACTTTACTTTTTGCAGGAGCAGCCTTTAATATGGGGACATGGAATGTCCAATTACCAGAATGGGGAGGACTTTGCTCTGTGGCCTCTTCCCATCCTAGAGGTCGTATTCCCTCTAAGTAATCTATTTTGTTTTTTAGAGACAAGATCTCATTCTGTCACCCAAGCTGGAGTACAGTGGCACAATCATAGCTCACTGTAGCCTCCAAACTCCTAGTCTCAAGCAATTTTCTCTCTTCAGCTTCCTGAGTAGCTAGGACAACAGGCTCAGGCCACCAAACCCAGCTAAATTTTTTAAAAAGGTTGGTTTTGAACTCCTGACCTCAAGCAATCCTCCTGCCTTGGTCTCCCAAAGTTCTGGGATTATAGGCATGAGCCACTGTGCCCTGCCCCTGTGGGTAATTTTTACAATTACTATTAATATATATTTATTTTTGAGACGGAGTCTCATTCTATTGCCTAGACTGGAGTGCAGTGGCATGATCTTGGCTCAGTGCCACCTCCGCCTCCCGGGTTCAAGCAATTCTGCCTCTGCCTCCTGAGTAGGCACCCGCCACCATGTCTGGCTAATTTTTTGTATTTTTAGTAGAGATGGGGTTTCACCATCTTGACCAGGCTGGTCTTGAACTCCTGACCTCGTGATCCACCTGCCTCAGCCTCCCAAAGTGCTGGGATTACAGACGTGAGCCATCACGCCTGGTCTAATTATTACTATTACTCTTTGAGACAGGATCTCTGACACTGTCACCCAGGCTGTAGTGCAGTGGCACGATCATAGGCTCTCTGCAGTCTCAACTTTCCGGGCTCAAGTGATCCTCCCACCTGAGCCTGCTGAGTAACTGGTACTACAGGTGTGCACCATCATGCCCTGCTAATTTTTTTTTTTTTTTTTTTTAAGTAGAGACAGGGTTTTCCTTTGTTGCCTAGGCTGCTCTCAAACTCCTGGACTCAAGTGGTCCTCCCACCTCGGCCTCCCAAAGTCGTGGGATTACAACTGTGAGCCATCACACCCAGTCCAATTACTTTTAAAAAAATTTCTAGGGGGCCGGGCGCGGTGGCTCAAGCCTGTAATCCCAGCACTTTGGGAGGCCGAGACGGGCGGATCACGAGGTCAGGAGATCGAGACCATCCTG